AAGAATAGATGGGGTGGAAATCCTTCAGGACTACCTTGAAAATAAATTGAGTGACCAAGTAACCAATTTGGCTGCTGTTACAGCCTGTAAATACAATCTGTATACAAAGCAAAAATATTTTATATTATCTTCCTTGACATGATGTGTTTGAAATCATCAATGTTGACCAAAGAGTTAGATTGGTCTCCTTGCCTTTATTTTTTTAGGGTTGGGGCATTTCATTTTGAAGGGGAGAGCTTGAATCCTATTTTCTAAGGTTTCTTCCAGAGGTGCTTTTCATTTTACTGTATTTTTTCTAAAAGACTTCCCCATGCCAATTTTTTTCTTGTTTAAAAAAATTGCTTTTGGAAGATGACCTGATTCACCCTCTCTCGTTAAAATTGGTGTTTTATAAATTTTCAACTGATAAATAAAAAAAAAATTTCTTTTTTGGCCCAAAAAGTTTGGGACTACAATGTCTATCTAATAGACTATATGATGAGAATCAATCATATTCTTCATTTGAGTGACACGTGATTAACTCATGTCCTTGTTGACATTCTTCCGAAGATTCTGTAGATGGGATTTTTCCGCATCTTTCCTAACAAGCTATATGCTGAGAAATCGGGATTGTTGTTTTAAATCCAAATGGTAAAAATGATGTGAAAGTGGTCAACACGGGAAAAAGGCAATGTTCGGTAATATCGCGTGACACATTGAAGCGTGATGGTTCAAGAAAGTCTCAATTAACCTTCCATTTACCACTTTTTCAGTCTGTAAATCACCACAACAACCTTAAAATATGATCATTATTCAACTTTTCATTATTCTACAGCGATAGTAAACTCAGCAGTAGCCATACATATAAAAAATTAAGTGATCAGTGGGGTCAAGTTTGAGTTGTTAAGAGTGGAAAATGAAGGATCGTGATTGGACATGTCAAGAGCGCAGTTCAAGTAAAGGATATGATCTATCGATTCCACTCACCTGATCCCAAGGTTTTGGGTATTTCTTCCTGATATACCTAACAGTGGCATTAATAAAGGGAGCCCAATGTGTATCTTCAGCGACCGCATGAAATTTTCCTTTAAAGCACAAACCCGAATACATGGCGTCCGGATATGGATTTCCGCCTATGAACGCGTCTTGGTGCCTCAGAATGATTTCCCTGTAATCAGTGTTATTTCTTGTATCTTTAAACCAGTTGATAGCCTGATGGCCAATGTCTATATGTGTGCTTATTCCACACGAGGAAACTCGCAGAGTGACAAAGCAGAGCAAAAAGAAGAGAAATGAAAATAACTTTAACATACTGCTGCGTAACTCCGCCATTTCGCCCCTATTTTTATTTTTTTACTTCACCGCTGGTAGACTGTAGGCTCAAACACCTCAATGGCCGACCGGAGAGGACCGGAGAAGAGGACGCTGTTGGTTACTGGGAAAGCAGCAGTCGTCCTGGTTAAGAGATCGCAGATCGATCTTTAGAGGAACATGAATGATATAGACAGTAGACATCTTTGCTTTGTCTTTTTACTTGTTCTCAATACCACCTAGGCAACTGGAAGGACTGAGGAGGCGGACAGCTGGCCGTCAAGGTGTATAGAATGGCGCGTCTGAAACCCGTCTGAATTCGTCAGTAGTTTTTTTTTTAAAGTTGTTTTTAAAGATTACAATTTACAGCAAATGGTTTGAATCAGGAGTTATCATGTGATCGTCCGGATGAGTGAAGTCCTGAGAAGGGTGACAATATAATTTATTTTTCACATTTTCCACGAAACACTTGACATGTCCGTCTAGTCAAATAACACTCAACAGCTCAACGTGCGTTTTTTCTGGATCGAGAGATTTCCTTGCTAACGATAAAATAACCTTCACCTTGACTATAATCGCTTCAATCACCTTCGCATAGTTCTCGAATCCGTGTAACTGCAATGCGAGACGTGTCAGTGTTGCTTACATTCCCCTCATCATTTCTCCCTATGAACGCTCTGTTAGCGTTAGCCTACGTGTAGCCGTACCCTCCTCCCCAAGGAGAAACGGAAGGGGGAGGAGGGCACGGCTACACGTAGGCTAACGCTCTGCATGCTATTGCTGGCTTGTTCTTAACGATGTTTCGCATACATGCTTAGCAAAATGATGTGTCTGCAAGTCTGCTTCCCTCTGCCGCGTTAGACTGCAGCTTTTTCAATAATCTCTCATCATGCTGGAGTCGTTGCGAGTGGGCGGGGGGGGGGGTGTGGGAGGGGTTAGCATTGCTTTTGGGGCATGGAGAGTTCTTGCATGCTCAGTTATGTGGGTTGGTAGAAGGAAGATGAGTTAGAGGATTATGATACAGTTGTTTTTGGCTTTCCATACAAAAACTGGCAAAACCAAAGAAAAGGTGACTAATTTCTAATTCCTCTAGCAATTTGAAAAGAGGTTCCGGGAATAGGATAATTTGGAGATTTGACAAAAATTCTTGGAAATTTTGAAAAGAAACTTCAACAATTTTTTCTGAAGGCTTACATCTTTTCCTGTCTGTGATGAGTGGATAAAGTATGGGAAGGGGGGCCTTGGACATTGGATGAGAAATTTGTCTTATACAATCATTCCATTGGAAACAAACCTGACTGTTGTGATTAAAAACAACTAAAAAGGGACAATAAATGCTGCTGTCTAATTTTGGTGCTAATCCTCCAGTTCTACTGACATCAAGCTACCTCACAGGCTTATCCCATTTTTTTTTCGATAAGTGCTTATTTTTTCTCTCTCTAACTTCTTAACTTACCTTAACTTCTCATCACTTGTCTGCTTGATATTATATTGATAATGTAGGAAGAAATTCTGTCTTGGTCACTCATGGGAGTTAAAGGGTTAAGTTTTAGTAGCTGTCTGAGGTTAATTTGAGGGTAATTCCTTTACATTCACTATACAAAAGAAATAACCCCTGAACACCTATGAGTGACAATCAGCTATTATCTCCTCACGATATCACAGCTGAATTGAACAGCAAGGTCACAAGAATGTAGGAAATGTTCAGCAACTAAAGAAGTTCTTGATTGTTAAACAAATTCTCCTTGTCAGTTCCTTAGGAAATGTGTAAGGAACAGTATGGATGCATACTGATGGTACATCTCAAAATGTTTTGATAAGAGAGGGTAAAAATTCATCAAATAGACAGAAAGACATTGTTTGCTTTGGAATGTGCATTTTTCTTTGGTGTTTTTTCTATTTTTTGTACTATGCAGAGGTAAAGTGCTAACTGGCCCTTTTTAAAAACCTTAAGAGTGACCAGCACCTAGTTTCTCCTTACAGCAATACTGGTGAATTATTAATAAGGGGGTATCAGGGTCAAACCATAAAACTGTAAAAACTGTACAAAAAATCATTCAAAACCCTAAAACCACAGAAAATTCTATCAAAACCAAAAACCACTCACCAAACCATCTAAACCAATAAATTTTCACATCCCAGTTATCAAAACCCTAATTGATCCAATACAGTCAGTGACAAGTGGAGCATGCAGAGGTTTTGTGGCTATTCCAGATCAGTGGAGGTGCATAATTGCTGCTAAAATAGAGGAGAAACAGGAACTCAAATAGGAAAAACCAAAAACCACATCAGATACCAAATCCAAAAACTCACTGGTGATATTTATGAAAACCAAAAGACAAATGCTGAAAAACAGAAAATCCGCCAACTGCAATACACACTTAAACTGAAAAACCACAGTTTTTTGGCCCAAAACTGAAAAACCGATCTAAAAACAGCCAACAGTGCAAAACAGAAAATCCGAATGCCCTCCCTCATTAATCAAGATCTGTGATGAGAATAAAGGTACCGATTGCCAGCCAAAGAAGCTGTGAGTGTTGAATAAATTCTCTTTGTCTGTATCAAAGAAGATAAAGAGAGGAGAGTGTGGAGAATATTGATACTGATATGTTAGGGTGTAAGGAGGTAAAAAAAGAAGATAGAGAAAGTGAGAAATTGAAAATAATGTTTGATATGCATGCTCTTTCCATTTATCTGTTAGGAAGATCAATATCATTTATTTATTATTTCAGCCTGGAGTTGGAAATTCACTTTGCCATATTTTTAAATATTTTTCTTTGCAACATCTGATGTTTATCATTTCATTTATTTATTATCTCAGCCTGGAGTTGGAAATTCATTTTACCATATTTTTGAATATTTTTCTTTGCAACATGTGATCAATACCTTAATTTAAGGTCCAATAACCAAAAATTATTTTGAATCAAGACATCTTGCTCTGAAGTATTTCAGATTACTGAAGGGCAATTTTACTTATTATTCACATTAATCAGTTAGAAGACTTGGTGAGAGCCTAAGAATGATGTGAATCATAGAATCAATGTGAGGAATTCAATTATTTCACGGTCAACGAGTTCAAGTTACAACTGGGCTAGCAAGTAATTTTATTTTGTGGCTATTCAGGCTATCTTTTTGGAGGAAATTCGTTGCTGGATTAAAATTCGTGATTTTTGCATGATCTTGATTGGTCGTAGTTGACCATTTGAGTAACTCGGCTGATATCTATTGTGCGTATTCGCCACGTGGAATATTACTGAAAATAAACACAATATCTCCGGTTCCAAAAATGTGGGAGGCCGTCTCAAGTTCGTTTTTGTTGTTATAATAATTTTTTTAAAGTCTTTTGAACAACGGTGGGCCATGAATTAAATTAAATCGTCTCGATTGACGATATGTGATGTTGAGCAGGACTTTCCTTTAATGTTGTGAAAAAAACATGTTTCGATTGAAGACGATACAGAGCGTAAAATTGGCCCGTAAGTAGATTCCTCTAGCAAGCCCTTTCAATAAAGAATTCGGCACTGTTTTATTACGGCTGTGAACTTTAAGCCTCTCCTTGCAGCTACTCCGCGAAAACAAAAGCGATAATGCTATTAGCGATATTTTGTTACGCTGGAAATTTGTCCAGAAGTTTGTGACGTAACAATCCGTTCTGCAATTAAAGTAGCTTGACTTGACCTCGCACAGGAAATCTGCATAATTTCAATTTCTAAAGGAGAACCTTCTGGCAGGAACCCTTACAATACTGGTGGTTCGTAACCTGTTCTATCCAACCGCAAGTTTGCCGAGATACAGAGAAAATTAGACATTTGCGCCGAAAATGTGACTTATAAATTATTAATTAATTACACAGGTTGGACTTTGAGTCGACGTAGACGAGTACAAAGGAGGTCTCACATGATTCAAGAAAAAGAATAATTTGAGAAACAATATACCCAGGAATTGCAAGTGGGCAAAGTAAATGGAAAATTTTATCACTGGACGAGCCGAGAACTACAAAACGGCGGTAAAATGCTGTTCAGGAGAGGATGCGAGTTCCGTGGATAGCAAGGATTCGATGCTCGAAGCCGGGGAATACCTCGAACGGTTAAGTTTTTGGCAGCGACCGAGACAGCGAGTCGATCTAGAATTCAACGATGTTACTTACAGTGTAAAGCTGGGTCGACAAGGTAAGAGGAAACATATTTTCCAAGCGAACACAAGCAACATTCATTGCTGAAAGCTTGCAGAAAATCTAGATCTCTCTGGGTGATTCTTTGAGTGCGGACTCGATTAGGAAACCGAAAGCGAAATTAAACGAGGAGGAAGATGTTGACGAAAACCCTTCTAGAAAAAAGACTAATCTCAGACCCTAAATTTAATAATGTGTCTTCAAGAGCTTCATCTTAAATACGTAAATTTTGAATCAAAAAATTATAATAATTGCTGAAAGAAGTCTTTCTTGAAGACCTTCGTTCAGGCTTGACGAGCATAACAACTCGACACGGTCACACTATGGCCGACAAAGGAAGACAAAACGTTGTTAAGAATTTGTCTGAATTTAGCCCGGCGTGCCTGTAATCATGAAATATATATATCTGCCTTCTGTAATATCTTTTACTCTGATTATTTTTTTCGGTGAATTTTCCCTGAAATCGAGAATCGTGTTTTGGCTTCTCCTGAAAGAGAGCACTTCACAGTTGTGCAACAAACATTATTGGAAATACCTTATTATGGTAAACAGTTTTCTGGCTTTCGTTTTCAAGCTGGGAGAATTTATTTTCAATTTTTATAAAAAATTTTTCCCGGCATCAATCGTGTTCATTACAGTTTCTTTTACAAATAAAAAAGGATTTTCGAAGAAGAAATATTCCATAACGACATCACATCACAACGGGAAAAGTTTTAGTACCTGTAGACTTTTTCCAGGCGTGGGTCTAGCTAGTGGGTTTCCCCTGATGCTTATTTATTTTTCCTAAAAGTTTTAGCGCATGAATCGTTCTAAACGTATCTTTTCTCCAATCAGTCAAGTCAACTTTCCTGCATTATTTGAATTATTTTTGTTGACTATTTTAGAGCATTTGATACTCCTTTGTTTCAAGTCGTTCGTCCGCTTAATTTTCAAAGATTTTAGCAACGAAAACCATGTAAAATTCGCGTTCCGTTCAGGCACAAAAACAAGAAAAATAATACAATTTCTTTTGGTTACAGCCCGAGATTTAATTTCAATTTATACAATTTTAAATGATTAATATACAATTTTTGGTTGCCTGAGAAAAGGGCAAACTTTTATTGATGTATTTTACTTTCGTGAAATCAGAAGCTAAAAAGGACTGATTAAGTGTTCGTTAAGCCCCTGTTTGGATAAACATATTCGAAGCAAAAAAGAAACATAGGCAATTGAAATAACGTGTCTTTTACTGAAAGGTCTTGGCGCTCAAACCCAAAAACATTCAGTTCATCCAGTCGTATTTAAGTATATTTGTTGTCAGGAAAACTGACCTTCATACTTAACCGCGGTGTAATATAACAGGAAAGTCTGTGCACGATGTTGACCTTAAGTGCAAGTTGCCTCTGTTGTTTTCGAGGTTTCCAGAAAAAAACAGTAAATACTCTGCTTCTTTGATAGACCCAAAACGTACTAGAATTTTAAATAATCTCACATTAAAGTCACAGAGCTTAAAGCATTTTTGTAAATAATGTAAATTTAATAATGAAATTACTTCTCAGATGTTTGAGAAGGTAATACTACTGATTATGCTTTACATTCTCTGAATATTTAATCTTGATATGAGATCATTCAAATAACATATTCCAGATTATTGTGCAAAGTGCCACCAGGATTTTTTTCAAGTCTAAACAAATTTCCATTATTACCTAATTATGTATAGATAAACATTGAACTTTTTCAAAAAAATTACACCCAGGAAGATGTCTTATTTGTTCTAGCACTCCTTCTTATATTAAACTACTTTGCATGTGCAAGCACTTGATGTTGTTATATCCTGTTGGGACAGACTTACTGATTGACAGGAGGTAACAGAAGTACATGCCAATTCTGCATGTTTGTGGCTGGATTGATCCTGTAGAATTGGACTTAGCTGGAACATCTGTTGGAAGTATCCATGGAAGACAGAAGTTTGACCACTAATCCTGCTTGTTAATACCTCGTTTCCTCTTCCATGTTAACTTTTATTGTGTGATGTGACACTCAAACTCTATTTCATTACTTGGTTTAACAGTTACACTGAGTTACATAATAGCTGCATAATTCATGAAGGGTTGGTAGTAACCAGCAGCTTTTAAACTGTGTATGTCCACTGTTATATCTGACTTAACTGCCTAACTACATGTATTTACAAGTCAATTGAAATTATGACCTTTGAATACTTTTTGTGTGGTGCGATTGTACAAGTCCAGAATCATGCAAGCCTGCTGTCCTTGCACGTGACAGCTGATTTAAAACAGGAAAAACCAGTTTTAGCTAGGAAATCAAGTTAACTTTAGCCATGCACAGTAATTGTGGAGTTTAGTTGAAGTTCATTAGCTTTTTTATTATATACATGATTCAGAACAGATCTTTGATTTGAATGTCATTTCATCACTTTTGAAAGACATACAGTTACAACATTCCTCCATGAAATTATATTTAGTCACAAATATGGACTAGAAATATATGTGGTATGTGTGTGGTATTTTAATGTCCATTTTCAAGACCTCTTGACCTTTGGAAAATTTTATAAATAGTCAAATCTGGCACATGAATGTAAGTGTCCTGTCACATGTTTGCAAGCTGAGTGAAAAATGATACTTCCTATCCTTACCCCTTGAGAGTTTAATCTTAAAAATTAAGAAATATTTAAAGGTAGCAAATTACAACTCATCTGTTGAAATTCTCATCAGTAATAACTTTTTGTTGCTGATTGTGCTGATTAAAAGATTTCCTCTAAACCGTCTAATCTCTGGATGATTCTTTGCTATGTGACCTTCCAAACAGAAGCTAAGTTGAGTAGTAATGGCCAAGTAGTTTCGGATAAGCTGTGTCTTTTTCTGTGATTGGAGCATTGTTCGACTTGATGGAAGCCAAACAGTAGAAGTAAATGTAATTGATGTTGACTTAACAATGTAATCAATTCAAACCTGAAATAAATGAAAAAAGACGGTCAAACTTCCATGGATTAACCAAACAAAGCAAATAAATGAAAAAAAGACGGTCAAACTTCCATGGATTAACCAAACAAAGTAAAATTATGTTAAAAAAAAAAATCAAACAGAAAATGAAATATATTTGATAAAAGAAAACTGAAAAAAAACATACAATAGAAACATTTTTCCTGTTGAACCAATAACATGATATGATCAATACTTGTAGTTCTGACAGTAGGCCTGACTACAATAAGATTCAGCATTCTTTCAAATTTCAAGCTGTTGTTGATTGCCACTCAATGTGTTGCATTCAGCTCTTGAAGTGTTGAAGGTCTAAACCAAGACTACTGTAGAATTATATTTCAATGTAAAAAGTTTTTCTACCCCTATTTGTTTTGTAGAGCAAAAGACAATTGTTCATGGGGTGTCAGGAGAGTTTAAAAGTGGAGAACTTGTTGCTGTCCTTGGTCCCTCAGGTATGTAAACAGGGAAATAGATATTAAACGATTAACTGACTGATTAACTTTGTGACCTGAGCAGTCAGACAATTGAAAAAGAGGCTCACACATTGCTAATGCATACTTTCAATTTGTACTTAATTACAATTTTTGGCTCTGGTTGTGCCTTCTTGCATCTTCTACCCTGCTCTACTTGATGCTTTCCTTTCCTTCCTATGATCTCAGTGGTAATTCTCCAAAGTGCCTTCCATACATTCCTGGTTCATTTGGAGAATTTGTTATTGGATCAACTAATGATCCCCTAGTTGATATTCTTCTCTATTCTCATCACCTGTCTGCTTGATATTGTACTGACATTGTGAGGAGAAATTTTTTCTTGGTCACTTACAAGAGTTAAAGGGTTAAGTGAAAATGGGAAGATGTTGCTTGCAGGGCCTAATTACTGGATATGCTACTCTGAAAAAGTGGAAAGCTCCCTTTTCATTTTTTTCACCTGTAACTTTTACAGTTGTTCTCGGAATTAATCTCAAAGCCACCTCAGTTTCTACATCAATTAAATGTGGTGTTTTGCCAATTTGTATATTAAGTTTCATTGGATTATCTTGCAAAGTCGAGAAAAGATGAGAACCCAAACTTGGCAATTTTATAAAGAAGTGAATAATACATATGCTCCTGCCTAAAGAATAAATTTTGTGGAAAAAGTTGCCATGAGTTAGTGATACTTTGCACCTTTCCTAAATTCACCATGATTCATCTTGGAATGAGGCTGACTTTCTTTGGTGTTAAAGGGGAAATTTGGCTAAATTGTGTAATGCTAGAAGTGGTTAACTTTCATTGCAACTTTAACTTAAACTATACAATTTTATTTCCATGTGTTAATGGTATGCTGTATTTTGTCTTCCTGTAGGAGCTGGGAAGTCCACACTGATAAATATTTTAGCAGGATACAGGTGCATATCTGTCATAATTTATAATTTACAATGTTGTTATTACGAAATTCAGAATAAATTTGCGAAGTTCAAGGTAAGACTCCAGAGCAGCTGCAAACATTTTTGCCAAAAGTAGTCACTATTTCTAAATTTCAGATGTAATAAACTTAACTGTATTGTTACAGTTGAAAAAATTGGTAATGCCACAACAAAGAGAGTTATTTTTGAGCAAACATCAGTTTTTGTCATCAATGATTATTTTGATGTGAAGCAGCTTTACTCAGCAGGCTTCTTTGCACTGAGCCAAGTTATCTTCAATTTGTATCTACCTGTATTTGCATAAATTATGTCAAGATGTTTTCCTCTGAATTGAAGTTTGAAAAATTGCTGCCTGGTTATTACCAAGTTGAATGTGTACACCTTCCATTCTGGGGAATGTCTTCTTTTATTGTGGAAAATTGGACAGATGAGAGCAGTTTGTTTAAACTAGTTAGCCCTTAAACTCTTACGATCTGATTGTTAACTCTCCTCTCTTGCAGTCACACATTTCCTTTTCCATTTGCATTCAGGGTTAGATAAACATGGCAACTTTTACCTGATAAGTTCAAGTTTTCTCATATTTTTCTCTCTGTATTTTTGGATGATGTATGGATATTAAATGGAGAAGTTACGCGTTAGTCTTTCTGCAAATTATTTTTGATAAGTATAAAGAGCACCTGAAAACCGCTGATCCAACTTTTTCATCAGAACCAAAGACGCAAATGGCCAAGTACTGGTCAATGGCGTGGAGAGGAACTTGCGGCAGTTCCGCAAAATGTCTTGTTACATCATGCAAGATGATGTGCTCTTGCCACATCTCACTGTCATGGAATCCATGATGGTAAGATTGTTTTTGTTTTAAGAATCAAAAAATAAACCCTATTTTATGGTTTAACTTATATTACTTGCGGATATTTGGCAAGTTGCATAGAGCAATGAGAAAAATGTTGGCTCCTTCTTTGTTTTAAACCATCAAGGGGATTTATTATGGTAATAGCATTTGGTTGATTTGACTGGCAGAAGTTATTTTTCTAGTGGAAAAGTCTTTTCTAACATTTTGGGAAGCCATGACAATGCTTAGACAGACAACCAATTGACCAACTTTCAATAAGTTAAGTAAGATTAAAGGACTAAAATAGGCTAGCAGTAAGTTAGATATTATGGCCTTCCAGCAGCTGTAAACTGCAGTCAACTGAACTTGAAGTTGATACAAGGACTGGTTGTAAAACATCAATTTTATTGATATTCTCATTTTCCTACAGGTGTCTGCAAATTTACATCTCAGAGAATCTTTATCCCTTGAAGAAAAAGAAAGAGTTGTAAGTTAATTGACTTCCAATTATGGTCTTAAAAAAACTGGTTGTAAAATTTAGGGAAACAGAAACTAGATCTTTCCAAATCTTAAACTCATCAGTCTCTAATAATTATCAGTTTGATGATTTTAGATATATGAAATTCATATATTTGCACTGCAGTGGAGAGATGAAATTAAGAGCTCCTCGCAGCTAAAAACACTACTGAAACGAATAGTTGAAAATAGGACCTGAAAAAAATTCAGGCCTGTGCGGGATTTGAACCCATGACCTCTGTGATAGAGGTTTGTTTGTTAGTGTACATAAGCATTTGAATTGTTCCTATTTGTTTTCCAGATCAACGAAATCCTATTGAACCTGGGCCTTACAGAGACTGCTGACACAAGGCTGAATGAGATATCTGGAGGACAGAGAAAACGGCTTGCAATAGCACTGGAATTGGTGAACAATCCACCATTGATTTTTCTAGACGAGCCAACTAGTGGTCTGGATAGTTCATCCGCATTTCAGTGTATCAGCCTCATGAGAACACTTGCTCATGGTGGGAGGACTGTGGTGTGTACCATTCATCAACCAAGTGCAAAACTGTTTGAAATGTTTGATAAGGTGAGCTGACCCTGTACTGACCTCATACTTGCCCTATTCAACTTTGCCCTGGTGTCAATTGTGGAGAGCCCTCAATTCTTTTTTCTTCTTATTTAAACAATGAAAATTGCTTATAAAATTTGAACACTTTAAAAAAAAATTCGGTTCAATTGAGAAGAAAGGGAAGCTCTTTTTTACAGAATGGTCAGGGTATTTTTATTAAAATTCCCCTCCATGTGTATTTCAGTTGTACATTTTGGCAGAGGGTAACTGCTTGTTCCAAGGCACTGTACAAGATCTCATACCTTACTTGGCTTCTGAAGGTCTGGAATGTCCCAAGTACCACAATCCTGCAGACTACAGTAAGTACTTGCTTGAGCTCGAGCGCTTTTTGGTCTCCTTTGTCTATTTGTTTTATTTTGTTTCTTCGTTTTTCTCTCGCTAGTGTCATAGATAAATTGCGGATCCAAAAGTTTTCTGGTATGAATTTGGATTTGGTTTATTTCGCGACCAATCAAAAGCAAAATTGATCCAATCGTGACTTTCTCACTCGTATATTCCCGCTCCAGGGAAAGTTCGACTCCTCTTTGGCTCTCTTCGATGTTTTTATGTCTTCTGATTGGTAGAGCGTACGACATATTTCTTAACTAATTTTAGAGCTCCTGTTCTCCGAACTTTTTGAGAAGGAACTTCGGGAAAGAAGCGCGGGCTCATTTCTGAGCAGCGAAGATGTCAGTTTTCCTCATCTTTGTTGTTTTATTGTTTTAGTTATAGAAGTAGCGTCTGGGGAGTATGGCGAGAACGTGATACCCAGGCTAGTGAAGGCCTGGAAGGCGCGTGAAGAGGCAGAGACGCAGAAAAAGAGCCTGACCAGTAGTACCAGCAGTAGCTATGATTCAAGAAACATGGTGGTGTCAATACTACCAAACTGTAATGTCAAGACCAGTACTGATAGCATAATACATGCTGCAAGTCAAACCACCCAGGTGCTTAGAGTGATTATATCTCAACCCATTACACCTTAACATCAGTATGCATATTCTCCATACTGTTCTCTATACATTTCCTAAGGTGCTGACGAGGAGAATTTGCTTAACCATCAAGAATTTCATGGGTTCATGATCATTCCTGTGTTCTCATGACCTTAATGTGTGATTCGGGGGTGATATTGTAAGGAGAAATTAGATTTTGGGTCAATCCTAGGGTTTAAGTTACCATTGTGAACTGATTCGGCGTGGTGTGAACACATAATTTATGATTTTTAAAGTGTCAAAATCGGTGTAAGTAAGCTTAATACCGTAACAGAGACGAATTGAGAGCGGTAAACCCGCGAACAGAGAGAAAGAAGTGTTTTTCAAATCAGAAAATGTTCTGTTATCTCTCGTGGTTGCCAACAGAGTTTGGATTGTTCCCTGAAAAGTGAATTTGCTTAGTTAAGGGCAGCTTTTTTCTTCTGCCAAGATGCTTAATTTTTAATCTTCTTTTGTCTACAGTTCCTGGTGTTGTTCAAAAGAGCCGCACAGTCCATCTTCAGGGATCGTATTTTTACTCACCTACGTTTCGTGTCCACAGCATCTGTCGGCCTTCTCATTGGACTCCTGTATCACGGCATTGGTAATGACGGCAGTAAAGTCTTCAACAACACTGGCTGCTTGTTTTTCTCGCTTCTGTTCCTCATGTTCACATCTCTTATGCCCACTGTGTTAACATGTAAGGGAAGCAAGATCCTTGTAACTCGATTTTGGTTTCTAAATGCTTCAGTTTCGGAGTATTTACAGTTCTGTTTTGTTCTCTTGGTTTTTGTTTGTTTGTTTGTTTTGCAGCGTTTCACTCCTTACAACATGCATAAAACGCAGAGGCGGTGGAGTGCTTGATGTGAGGAGGGTTGGGACTCATACCGTTTACTAAGTCAAGTACCGAAATAATTTTACTCTTTCCCTTTTTTTCTAATTCAGTCCCCATGGAAAAACTAGTGTTTATTCGAGAGCATTTGAACAACTGGTATAGCCTCAAGTCTTACTACCTAGCAAATACAATGGCGGACGTTCCCTTACAGGTAAGGATAATTGAAAACTTTAAAAAGAAACTGGTTCACACGCGATTGATAATCAGTTCTCATGTTGCTGTGGGTCTGCTGAGTGTCAAATCACAGATGGTGTCAAAAATTGGCCTGAAAAATAAGCGGCTGTTGGCGAGTTTCGTTATTATCCTTACCACAATTTACGTCTCCTAATCAACTGATGCACGCACGAAAACGTAAGTTCTATTTTGTGTGGTGTTGAAAAAATAATTGCCTGTGATGACTTCACTTATGCGTCTGGGTCCAGTTTTTCAAAGGGTGGATAGTGCTATCCAACGGATCAATCGCAGTCCAGTGAATAAGTGTCAACCAAACATTCTGCGCTATCCACGAGATAGAAATTTATCAAGTGGACAGTGTTTTCGCAGGCTTGGTGTGATTCAGCCTTTGAACAACCAGGGCCTGGCCTTGAAGGATTGTTGGTAATAACTGGTCAAACTCTGGGTTTAAGTCAGTACGTCATGTGCGTAATGTTGGCCAGGAAAACGGCTTTAAATTTGATTTAGCCCCGTAGCAACAACCCGGAAAAGTTAATACTTTATCAAAAAGGTTAGTTGATGGTTGCATCTGGACAAGCCTACAAACTATTTACTCATTCGAATTGAGTAAATTGTAGGGTAGCCTGTTCTTAGACCCCTTTTTGTCTCCAAGATTATCTTCTAGAGCGCGATTGTAATAAAATCCTCTGGGGATGTAACCAACGTAAACGCACGGGAGTTGGAATAGGGAGGGGATGTCGGGGGAAATAGCTGTCACTTTCGTGCTTTTTTCCTCAATTTTAATCAAACGGCTGTGGACAAACTATCTGTGAGGAGCCAGTTTCAACAAATTGCAAATTCCTGTTTTCTTTGCAGATCTTGTTTCCAGTGATTTACTGTACAATAGTATACTTCATGACAGATCAACCAAACGAAGGATTGCGTTACACTCAGTTTGTAGCCGTCACGATACTGACATGTCTTGTAGCGCAATCCATTGGGCTCTTAATAGGGACGGTCGCGCCCAGTCTTCCGGTGAGTTGTGACACTTAAACGTAACATACAGTTGTTCTCCTTCTCATACATTTTAAATCCTCTGGTTTTTTTTCAGCATATTCTACTGCCTACGAATTTTCCTGAGCCCTCCTCTTTTTTTGCCTTTGTCTACGACACCAGTCTTAAGTTTCTCGTGTTGTTTGTCGTTTTTACGTTATCCGCTATACGCAAATATTTTTTCTGTCTCTGCATTAACCGCTGCGTAGGTCACAAATGTTCCGTTATTTTTTTTTAATTTGTTTTATTTTTTTCTTGCGATTTTTGTTGGCTTAATATGTGTCTTACGCTTGCTGTCGTTCAGAGCGTTTTACCACCTTTCAACTGATTGCATATTTTTTATGGTTAGTTAAAAATGTCTTATCGTTTTATTTCCTGTCATAGACTGCTGTCTACGTCGCTCCAGTGACTGGTATCCCTGTCCTACTGTTCAGCGGTTTCTTCGTTAACTTTGATACCATTCCAAAGTACATGCAGTGGCTCACATACGTTTCCTACGCGCGGTACAGCTGGGAGGGAACGGTGGTGGCCATATATGGCAATAAAAGAGGACCTTTAGAATGCAAGGACAGACGATGTATATTTACGAACAGTGAAGAAGTTTTGGCGTCTATGGATGTGGAAGAAAATGCCCTGTATTTAGAAGGCGCGAAGGTTTATTTCGATTGCCTCGTCCTCTCCCTTTTCTTCATTATTTTGAGATTAGCGGCTTATTTAGTGTTGCGGTACAAAGTGAAGTCGTATCATTAGCAAAGTTGTGGTGTTCTGGACGATTGCGTTTGGAGTCGTTGTCATCTTGGACGCCATCTTGACAAGTTTTTGACTGTTCGTGAGCGAGCTTGCGGTGACCGCTGATCAGTTATACGTGGGCTTCTAGTAAATCGAGTTGAGTGGGATTGTGGTGAACTTGGAAATGGCAAAGAAAATTAGGAGCGTTATTTTTAAAGTCATCGTGAGCTACGTATTAGGGTTCGCGTTTTAGGGATCCTTCACTCATTCATAAAATTAAACAATCATTACGTGTTTTTAATATATGCTAAAAAAAAAAGGCTCTGCTATGTGGAGAACGTATTTAATCAAATTTACGGGAATCTCATACCCGGAGCCCAAACGATACCGACCAGATATGACAATTCTTTGGGCTGACTTTGGGCTGAGTATCGCAGCTGTAGGGGACGACCTTCTTTGTCCACCTAGCGCCCAAAGAATCTCTGAATATTATTTTTATTTTTTTTGGTTTGGGGGTGGTGTTGTGGGGGGGTGGAGGGAGAAGAAGGATTCGTCGGAATAGAAAGGCCCTTTTACATTTTTCCTTTTTTTCCTTTCAGCTTTTTTCTCTCTCAATCCAACCTGGCCTCAAGGATTGACCAAAAGTACTTCATAACATTGTATTTCTTCAGAATTTTTTTTGGCTTTTGGGGAAAACATGTAGTAAGGGGACAGAGAGATGAAAAGGTAGCGGGTCTTTCCTTTGAATTTTCTTGTTTCGCTTCTGCAGTTTGGTCTCCTAAAGTTTTTAAAAGATTCTTTTGATAGAGTGGCTGGACCATTCAACTTCTGTGAAACTAACCACTTAAACACACCTGTACATTCAGTTGTGTTCCAGCTCTATCCTGGTCACTCGATTTGTTTTTAAACTAGTCGTGTGTGATACTTTCTGAGTTTCACATCTTTCACCAAGCTCTTGTCTCTTCAACCCTTTTCCTTCAGAGCTTTGCTCCTATTTCCAATATTTTTCCTAACTAGAATTTCCTTTGTAACAGACAAAAGGATAGGTACTAAGTCGATTGAAAACACACTTGTCGTTTTTTTTTAATTTGTCGGCCTTCCGCTCGAAAAAAAAGCGACCAATATAGTTTCCAGTTATTAGGCGATTGTCAGAGGGGGGTGTTGATTAGTAAGAAGGTATTGTTCAGTAATCTTATATCTCATGAAATAATTAATATAAATATTTATAAATTTTATATTATGGAAATGGTGGTGTTTTCCATGTCTTATTGTATCACTTTAAATTTACGCGGGCTATCGAAAAAAAAAGATAAATGTATCGAGAAGCTTTGCATCACTTTGGGGTAATACATGATCAAGAAATGGATATGGATTACAAGGCTGAAGTTGAGAAGATTCTCGAGGTGGATCTCGCACATCGGGAAAATCTTGATACTTGAGTGCTGTGAAGTGAAAATTTCCAAATCGTTGTCAATGTAAAATATTTTCATAGAAAAACAACTGTTTAGATTTAAAAGAAGCTATCTAGTATTTGCACTATACATTTTGTGAATACCGGTATGTTATTAAAGTTGATTTCCTCGCAATTCATGTAGGGAGAATCTAATCGTTGGTTGGTGGCATGTTTACGTAGCGGATTGCGGGTAAAATTTCGCCAAAAAAATCGTCGTTAGTAAATTGTCGCTAGTAAGAAATTATGGTGGCGTCACAGCGCACTCGTTTTCATAACAACCTTTAGTTTGAAAAACTATCGCACCTGCCCTATTTTCTCGGCTAAACACCGCCCCAAAAATAAACGCTGGACCTTTAAGGCTTTGTTGAGAAGAGCCTCCTCTGATTATGATTGGCCGATATCTCGACCCTCGTCTAGTCTTTTACCCAGACCTCCCTCGTCGAGTTTTTGAACTACAAAGGACCTGGTAATGAGATTCAACATGACATTACAGACATTGCCCGTTTAACAAAATTTATTCTTCGGAGGTTAGACTCGGACCACTTGGTAAGTCGTATTTATTAGGTCACTACTGAGCATTTTCTGCAGCGTTCTGTTTCTCGTTCAGCTCGGGTTGCATGTATGATGACTGTGGTCGCCGACCGCCGGCAGATTGGTCTGAACTGAACTAAATTGAGCGCAATTGAATCTTAGCGCTGTCGTTTGTAGAACAAGGATTCTTCCGATTGGAAAGACACTGATTGTTCGATCAATTGAGATCTTAATTAGTCATCGAATCTCGCAAAACGATAAATCATGCAAATAATTATGTCTGTGAAAGGCGTATTTTATCTCCTTAGCGCCTGATGCGTGGATTTCTAGGTTCTTTGATCAGGACTCGCCTGACTGGGTATGAAAAGAATTTATCGGAATAATGATATTAAATGATCATGGTTGAAAAATCGCGATAAAGGACGTAATCAAAAGACATCAAAAGCGACTGAAGGTGGACTGCTGTGATAACGATGAATCATGAGAGAGCAAATAACTTTCAAGGAGGATAAATGTGTGCATGTTTCTACTTATGTTTCGTTCTATTCTCAAAAGTTCGAAAATCGTACGAGGAGGTTCACCTTCAATCTCACAAGAGGCTTCTGTTGAATATAAATGTTTTTTTTTTAATCCCAAATCCAAAAAGATCGATAAAAGAAACAAAATAAAACTTATTGCGTAAAAGTCAAGGAAAACCGAACCGATCAAACGATCGATCTGAAGTCGCATCATTTCCGTGTCCTTAATTTGCATAAATGTATGTTCTCTTTCTGCTGAGAAAGTCACGCAAAAAGAAAAGAAGTCACGCTACAGCAGGGTCCACACTCGCTCTGCAGCTCGAGTGTCGAAGCAGTGAGATAGGAAGACAATCGTAACGCAATGCCAAAGTACAGGCTCGGCCAAGGTATCATGGCATTCGGGTACCCATGCAGGGTGTTTTCTCATCTCAAAACTGATGCAAGAGATCTCGCGTACAATAATTTCTAGTAGTTGGTTTCCATTTATTATATACTGCAATTTTAGGCATTTGTCAATACATTTATGGACAAGTTTAAGGTCTATTGGTATCCCACTTCTCTCTTCAAAGACCCCACCCACACTGGCCTAAAAGACAGCCAGCTCAGCCAGTAAATAAGGCACGTATTACAGGGCCGTAGGAGTAGGGAGGGGGGGGCTGAGGGGGGAAGAGGTTTATGATATCCCCTCAGTTAAAAATTTTTCCTACAGACCTGTATTAATATAAAATTTAACTCCCTTCGCGCATGAAAATTTAAAAATTTCCCTTCGGAAGCTTTCATTAGTCACATCACTTAGGCTTTTATCCTTGTAGAGATCGTTCGGTTGTCTCTTTTATGCGCAAGGAACGGTAATTAAACATCAGTTCCAAAATTATCCTCGCTACGAATGATGCATGCTGAATCAAGACATTACAATCTCTTGGCTGAATGCAATGCAAGTAGCCGCAAATGTCGTCGAAACTGAACGGGGTAAAATCAACAGTATAGAAATGCTTCCGGTTTTCAGACTAAGTGGGAGTACAATGCCTAAAAACAACTGACCACAGGTTGCCTGAATGAAACCAGGAAAATTCCCAGGTTTTCATGTTTTAATTCGAGGAACTGTGACGCGAAGCGCTGTAAAGACCGTGCTTTTCATCAAGAGAATATGTCCCCGTTTCTGATATCGTATCTTATCCCACAGTTACGGCATGCTGTGAGGCACATGAAGCTTTGGCATTCTACCTCCATCCGCTTTGATATTTTGATTTGACAATCATCTTTAGCCGGCTGCTTGCCTTTCGCTCTGAACTATTCTCCTCCTTGTTCTGGCTAACTCAATCTTCTCCTTTCCTTTGGCCTTCAGCCCTATGTTTTAAAATATTGTGCTTGTCTTGATATGAAAACTCATTGTTCTCCTTTGTTCTTTCAGTTGTTTACAGTTATAAGTGACTCCGTAATGGATCCTCTAACCGGGATATGGACGACCTTGATAGTTGTACAAGTTGCCTTTTTTCTTATGAACACTGGTCGAGTTCACAAAGCCATCGAGCTCGGCAACGAATTTTTGAAGCTATTAAATGCCAGCTTGCAAGGAAAAGAAGGTGAAATTGCAAGGAAAATTTACAAACATATCTATTTGATGATGTTCAAAGCATACTACTTTATTTCTGATTCCCAAAGTGCGTCAATATATGCGAGAAAGATTTTCCTCATAAGACGCGGTTCCGCTGACCCCTACGAAACAGTGGAATTTACCTTGGTCATTGCAAGAATGTCATCTAGACTAAATAACTTTGTCGATGCGAAAGAATTTTATGACAAAGCAATAAACTTGACAGTTCAAACTGGTGACCGCAAAATAGAAGCAGATACCAGTGGAGAATTTGGAAAACTGCTTTTAGAGCTGAGTGAATATAACAAGGCTAAAGATTACATTGAGAGAGCACTTACGATCAGAAAGGAGATTGGCGACAAACACGGAGAGGCAAAGGCTTATGGAAACTTAGGACTTACGTTTCACTATCTTTGCGAATATGCCAAGGCTAAAGAATATATCGAGAAAGCACTTGCGATCAGAACTGAGATTGGTGATAGGAGTGGAGAAGTAGTGGATTACACAAACTTAGGACATGTGTTTCACTCGCTTGGTGATGTTATCAGAGCTAAAGAATACTATGAGAAAGCACTTGCGATTACAATAAACATGTGCGACAGTAAAAGAGAAGCATGTCTTTACAGATGCTTAGGAGGTGTTTCTTTTGACCTTGGAGAAGGTGAAAAGGTAAAAGAATATTATGAGAAAGCATTAGCGATTAGAAATGTGATAGCCGACAGGGAAGGAGAAGCAGAAGACTGCGAAGCCTTAGCAAACATATTTCAGTTTTTCAGCGAATTTATTAAGGCCAAAGAATATCTCGAGAGAGCGCTAGCGATCAGAAGAGAAATTGGTGACAGAAGAGGAGAGGCAAATGATTACGGAAACCTCGGAACCATATTTCATTCCTTTGGAGAATACGCCGAGGCTATAGAATGTTATGAAAAAGGACTCACAATCAGAACTGAAATTGGCGACAGAAGAGGAGCAGCTACAGATTACGGAAACTTAGCAAGTTTGTTCGGATCGTTGGGAGAATATATCAGGGCTAAGGAATATCTTGAAAAATCACTTGCAATAAGAACTGAAATAGGCTCTAGACATAAGGAAGCTATAGATTATGGAAACCTGGCGGTTGTGTTTCTTAAACTTAATGACTTTGTCAAGGCTGAGGAATATTTGGCAAAATCACTTGCAATCGAGATTGAAATTGGAGACAGAAAAGGAGAAGCAGCAACCTATGGAAATTATGGTGCTCTGTTCAGCGCACTCAGAAAATATGGGAAGGCTAGAGAGTATTATGAGAAAGCACTTGCGATCAGAATTGAATTAGG